TTATTATATGTAAAGTTTAATTAATTTTTAGTATTACCTATCTATTTGTATAATAAAAATAATATAATAATTAAATATTATTTATATTATGCTGCGTATCGTTATTGCACATACATTTTCACAAGCAGATTGGCAACGGCTTAATGTTAAAGTAAACGGCATCAATACGACATTTAGTACTTTTTTTCTTGAAATAACCTATGTTTGTTGATCAAAGCTTACCTATATAGTTAGCTTTATATAGCTCAGTATATAATATAAAGGTGTACGTTTGAACGTCTCTCACTAGGTTTGTTGATTTTCCACTCATGAATCGTGTTAAACTTTTGTTGGACTCACAATTCACAGGAATGGTTGGATACAACTAATATGCGAGATTCCACGAATTCCGTGCTAGGTAACAATTTTGTGTTTTTGTTTCACCTATTAGATCCGTGTTTTGATATATATAGGTTATAACTAAATGGTATAGTTAATAATGCACGTATAAACGATTTTTCTAGTAAGGATAAAATTAGTACTTTTTCACAGGATAAGTATATCTACATCAACTTAAGTAAATATTAATTTTACGTATGTTTGACTCACGTAATTTACAAAAAAAAAAAAAAATGTTATAGCTTATAGGTGAGTTATTAAATTATTATTTTGATATCTACAGTCCATATAGTACAATATTATTATTGGCAGTTGATCAAATTGAATATAAAAATCAACAGCTTAGATAAGTTATATATAACTGTGGCACTGTGCAGGGCTACACTGATTACAAAATAATACTTAACAAATTTATCAGAAGTTACTAATTATTAGTTATTCATATAACTAAGTTATATAAGCGCAATAGGTACCTACCTATATATACCTGTCTAAATAAAAGTATGTTTTAAAACGTGAAATCTGATTTGATCTGCAGACTGTAGTGAATAGTGATACACTATATAATACCTATCTATATTCTATAGGTAATTTACAATAATGGGGTGGCAGTATTGTGCTAAACAGTTCCCACCCGTTCCTGTTTTTTTGTTTAAAAAAAAAAAAGGTAATTTACAATAGTTTTGAATGTATAAAATCAGCAAGATTTTTTTAATCTTGTATAAAGTATATTTCAATCATAACTTCATATTATAGGATATTACGAATCGACTCCGCGTTTATTATGGTACAGTGATTGTCATATAATATATTTTTATTGTTATTATTGAGCATGAGCACGGCCACTTAGGCCATTTGCTGTTTTGTTCGTTTGTTTGTAGGTTGTATGTAGAAGGAGGAACGGTTGAAAACACGTTTTTGTATGTATGTCAAGGTTGCTAAAAATTCCGAGAGGTCACCCATCCGGGAACTAGCAACGCCGGCCGTTAAGTACACTCAGTGCGTTTCCGCAGTTGAGTGCACGCACTGCGCCACACCAAGCCACAAGTCGTGTCGTATAATATATTCGTCACACTAAAATTAATTTTGCTTGATGTTATAATAGCCTATTGATTAGCTTAATGTTTGTAACAAATCACATCGTCAATTTTTTCGTCAATATATCGCTAAAACCTAATCAACTGCAACAAAAACTACTGTCAACTAAACCTATTGCTTGCACGTTATCTGTTACCTAATTATTTATGTTTGTCATCAAAAATGCAGTTTATAGGTTACCTAAGATTGATCAAGAGGACGTCTGCAGCGCACTATTTGTTTTCTCTCTCCGAACCATCATCGTGCAACATAGAAAATTTGAGTTCAGAACATTCAGTTGGATCAATATTATGCTGTTATAGGTTATTAAAGCGTATATTGAGTATAGAACTATTATTAAATTTAAAGCTAGAAATATTATCTGCGTTGTTCGTAGGTTAGCATTTGTACGATATTTAAATTTGTATGCAAGTTATGATTATAATATAAAAAATTATAATTAAAAATGATCAGTATAATATTATATAATACATAATCACTCTGAAAAATTGTAATATTATAAAAAAGCCAACGTGTATAAACATTACTGAACTTATTATATACATGGAATTATGCGTATTATGTATAGTTCTCACTTCTCATACGTATAAAATGAGCCTAACCGAAACCGCCAATCCGCCATATACATTCAGATTTGATTTTTTACACATTAATATTAATATGACGATGATGATAATTTTCATAGATAAAATTATATATTTCATCATGCGTTTTCCCATGACTCTGCAGAATTTCATTGATGCATAATATATAGGCATAATATGGCGACTTCATATTTCGATTAATACACTCGTTTCATAATATGTATTTAGTTCAGTGATAAACACAGATATAATGTTCCTAACTTTAAATTGTTTATTCAGTATTTCAATCTTAAATTGAAGGTATAATATTATATCATATGTATTATACCAATATCACGAGAATGCTGCAGGTATATATTTTGTAAAATCTTGCAAATCTACTATTTTGAGTTCGATGGGTCATATTTAGGTATATATTATATATAGATGAGAGCGAAAAAATATTTTAGTGTCCTGACTCCTGAGTACTTCCTCTTAATATATATATATTTTTATTCTTTTTTTTTTTGTTTCAAAATAATAATCAGTCTCATATTTTATGTCAAATAATAACATACATAAGTTGATTTGAAACATTTAGGTATGCAACGAAATATTGCACAGCGGGATAATGTGCCAACATAACATTATATGTATGTGATTTTTGATGTTATATAAACATTACTTGAACACATTGGATTTGCATTGCAGTTAAATAAAGCATATCTATGTTTCAAAGGATGTGCTTACGCACTGTTTTCTAAATGTCAGCAAAAACAGGGGAATAAGTGTTGCAGCAATGTTTTTCATATACACATATGCAACTTGCATTGCGATGTTACATATTATGTTTCAATAAAACATCCCTGAACAATTCATACAATAATTCATTGCACGTTGGGATAATATATATTATTATTATCATAAATCGTATGGTACCTTATATGGTCATTTTTCATTTTTCAGTTAAGTACCTACTTAGGTCAGTGTATAATAAATAATGATTATTATTGTTTGATTTTTATATACTATTATATTATTATGTTTAATTTTGTATAATATAATGCGTACTTATTTAAAAAAAAGAAAAGTGTGATGTTTTTTAAAAGAATTTATCTACATTTGAATTTGAAATCATAATGTTTTAAATTCAAATAATTGTGCATGCTTGCAAGGTTTATATGACTGTTATATGGGTAATGTTTAGTATAGAAAAAATGTATCAATAACTCATATTAAAAAATGTATGTTATATATAGTATATAATATATATATTATGTGAACTGTGAAGATTTTATACAAGCTGCAGCGGAGTTAAATTTAAATGTAAGGAAAAATTAAATTTCATTGATTTTTAGTTGTTTTATGATATTTTGATCGTATCCTGCTCAGGGGTCGGCAAATAAATTATAAAGCAGTCCAGATAAAAAATGTTCGAAGGTCTGAAAAACCTGAAGCACCTATTATTGTTAATAATGTATTTATTTTCGTGTTCAAAATACAGTTTATGCGGTTTCAAGCAAATTATTTAAAATGATATAATATTAGGCTGCAGTTTTTTAAAATTTGGTATACCTACTCTTGGATAACAATACTATAATGAGCAGTGTTTTGTAAGTGAAGATCATTTAATCTTGAACGATATATTTTCCCATCTCCAAATTACGATACTAGGCCCGAAGTAGTTGTAATATATGCCAAATATAATATTATATAATATGTAGTAGGTTTAAGTCGTAGGTGAACCGCCTGCAGGTATACCTATTATACCTATATAGGTAAGTCCACGTAGAAAAGTTTTGTGTGATATATGAATATAATATTATCATAATATATAATGTCATAATAATAATTTAACACATCCTAATCGTAGTATAATACGATAGGTTAATATTATAAAACCGTCGCTATCGTATATTTAGCAGGAACGTAAAGTGATTTATTGACCGGCGTCTGCGGTTAGCTGGTTATAATATGTACCTATCTATATGTGGTTAAAACCTGGCTGATGATTATTATTATTATTGTAGTAATAATATGGTACCGGGTTTAAGTAAACGTGCGAAATTAAGGTGGGCTCAATAATTATCTATATCCGGTGCACAAATTTCCGGAACGGCGGCGGGCTTGAGGGTTGTGTTCGCGCGCGGTTAAACGAGCGGACGACGGCGGCGGCAGATACGCCCGTCTCGGAAGAGTAAAGTGTGGTCGGCGAGACGATCGTACGGGTGAGGTGCGGGGAAGGATGCGACGGACGGTTAGGCGGCGGGGGTGTGATGGCTGGCGGGGGTGGTTTTTGCGTTGCGGGGGAGGAGTGGACGCGCCGCGATTGTTGATCAACGCCCGGCCGCGGCGTAATAGTGTTAGGCGCGGCGCCGAACGTCGAGTGGAAACGAAAACGTAAAAACGTTGACGGGGTGGGGAGAGGGGAAAAAATCGCCGAGGAACGGCCGCGCCCACAAATCGGCTGCCCGCCAATCGGACCGGTGCACGCCCAACACGGTGCCGCCGCCGCCGCCGCCGCCGACACCGCCAGCGTGGCCACGCTCGCCCCTACCAAAAAGGAACATCCGCCAAAGCCGCCGACGGAACGACTGTGCGCGCGCGACGCAATTATTGCTACTCACGTGTTCATCCGTACCGTACACGAACGTCGTCGTCGTGGTCGTGGTCGTCATCGCCGCCGCCGTAGTCGTCGCGATAGTTCGTTTCGTTACCGTACTGTATAATATCGTCGGCATTTAGGGTTTTTTTTGTCAGGAGGATTTTTCACGACGACACCTGCAATAATATACCCACGATAATAATAATAATAATAAAAATAATAGTATATTAAAAAAATAATAATAAACACGTTGTTAGCGGTGCGTTTTTTGTGCTTTCCGCCGCATTACTGCAGTGCACGCAGTGATGCGTTTAGGCGGCTTGCGGCAGCAGTGATAAGCGAACAGAGGGAACGCAATGATGACCATGATGATGATGCAACGTCTGCTCCAGAACAACAACAACAACAACAACAACTCCAACAACAATAACAATAACAACAATAACGGTTACGCAGACGAGATGAGGCTGAACGGCATACGTCACCATTCAGCAAGTCCATTTTCGAAACCAGCCGCCGTGCAGGCCGCGGCGCCCGACAGCTGCGGCGGCGAACCAGACGCGCTGACGTTGCAACCGTCGGCCGGTTGCACTGAACCGAAGCTACAACCCGTCTCGCCGCAGTTCGTCTGCACGGGTACGGCGACGGCCGCCGCCGTGCAAGCCGGCCCGACGTGCACCACTGTGGTGACCGTGGCCGCGGCGGACGACCGGCTGACGTCCGACGAGGACGACGAGCTGAACGTGGACGAGCTGAACGTGGACGAGCTAAACGTGGACGAGGACCCGGTGGACCTGACCAACAACCGGTTGCACGGCGCCGGCCACGGACTGATGCTGCACTGCGACCGCGGCGCCGGCAGCCTTCACCCGCAGGCAGGGAGCGTGGCCGCCGTCGTCCCGATGGACACCACGGCCGCGGCCAACGATTACGAGACGAGCGGCAACAGCAAAGGCCGGCTGGCGTTTTCCGTCGAGAACATACTCGATCCGAACAAGTTCACCAGAAAACTGATGGCACCCGCCGCCGTCCTGCCCAGGTGGAGGCCGCGGGTCGACTTCTCCACCGACCCTTCCGGAGCCGGTGAGTGTTGTAATTCACTATTATAACTTACAAATAAGTATGCTAAGTATACCAATATCAAGCCCGAAATATATATTTTACAACTTATTATTATTCCATGGGATTATAGGATTTCGATGAATTTTGCGTTGTTTTTTAAAGTTAGCTACATGCGAAGCTCGTTTTATAAGGTTTATTACGTTTCTTTATGTATTTCTAAATCACAACGAGAAGTTTTTATTTTCATTTTTTAGACCATTTTAGGGCATTTAACACTAAAATCCAGTTTTTTTTTGAAAATACATTTTATGATTTGCACTAAAAAATATCTCTCTTATTAACATCTCAACAATAGGTTTTTACCCAATCAAATATTATTTCCTGTTAATCGTATTTTTCTAGTACTCTACGTAATAATCGAGAAAATCAAAGCAGATTAATTATTTTTTTTAAGAAAAGTCTACGTACAAAACTTGTAATTGAGTAGTCCTGCAATACTTTTTTGTGAATTGAATAAAAAATATTTTTTGGTTCAAAATTTATTTAAAATAAAAACAAATAAGTGCATTATATAGGAGCATTATTTTGAATTTTCAGGGCATAAAAGCATTTTTTGGGTTGTTTTAGGGCGTTTCCAGTATTATAATTATTACCTAATATATTATTATATTATATTATAATATTATTCATCTAGTACACCTTCACGTGACACGAATAATTACATTTCCTCGGTAATATTCGGACCTATATAATTACCCTGCATTGCAGGTATTATAATTGAGGGTAATGATGAAACTCGCCCTTCCCACGTCATCATTCACTCTGCAGATGTGTTATGCCGACAGTCCGGTAATTTCAGATTTCATATATTTCACAAGCCCCTATTATAGTTATATTCCAACTCTAAGTATATTCAATATATACATACAGCAGGCCCACCACATCAAATTTTGGGCCCCTGTACTAAATGTTTTTGAGGGCCCTATACCAATTTTCCAATAAATACAACCCATTAAAAACGATGCGAGTGTCGTATACATGATTTTTACTTAATATTATATTATAATATGCATTTATATCATAAAATAATATTATCAAAGTTTCAAAATTTCAAAGATTACAAACTCAGCGGGTCCCTTAAAAAGCTGGGCCCCTGTACTCCGGGTCCAATATACCTATTGCCATACTTAAAACAGTTTATTATCTTTTACTTTGTACCTAGGTATATCTGGGTATTATCCATACTAAATAATATTATATTATATCTATAAATTTGAAAGTAATACTCTGTCTGTCTGTTACTAATTTTGATTAAATGTGTTATAGAGACCCGAAAAAAAGGACATAGGCTTCTCTTTTTTTTAATCAATGCTTCAGGGAATAAGACTAAATAACCACTCCAATGTGATTATAGAAATATGAACTGGGAGATAATATCAACCTAACAATAAATTATCTATGGATATAAATTTGAAATTTGGAGAGGCAGTTAATAACTATTATTGCCTATTGGTATTCACACCTATCGACACAATCAAAAACGTATTTTTGCGTTTTTAAAAATTGAAAGGGGGTGAAAATTAAATAGGATGTTGAAGTTTTAGATTTTAGTGATGACTTTGGCTATTGCGAATATATATGTTTTACTATTTTTAAAAGTATGCGAAAAATGTAAGTAAACAAATATGTTTTTATAATATTACGAAAATCGTGTTAAATTGAGTAGGTACCTATACCTAGTTATGGTTTGGCATATTATTATAGTTGTTGCTTTGTTTCTTTTACTCATCATCACTCATCACAAAAAAAAAACTACTGATATACGAGCGAATTCGAGGGAATAATAGCTGCATTAGCATTATTATAGGTATACATTTACTAATTCTTTTAATAATATAGAAAAACTCAAGAAGCAAATTGTTACAATAGAAATGTACCTATACGTTTTTTATAAACGCGCAATGTCTTTTTATAGTTCATTATAATATTATAATACTACTAATAAGTACTAAACAAAAAGTGTCTTTCTTTTTCATTTTAAATTCTTTGTTCTATAATATAAGTAATAAGTTGCATTTTATGATTTTAAATTACAATTTTCACGTCAAAATGTTTTATTATTGCTATAGCAATAGGTTAGCAGTAGGTACCTAGGTAAATTATTTCTAACCTGCAGTCTTTCGTCTCCAAATAAATTACCTACTGACATTTATGCTTATTGTAAATAATATAATATTTAGATTGTACCTAAATATAAAATATTTAAAATAAATGTTTAAAAATATATATACCTAATTATAAAAAATTATACGACTTGCTTAATTAATTTTTTAATCAATGATAGACGATAGTTGGTTTTTTTCATAACCGGAGTAATTATTGTTACAAGCACATTGACATAAGTTGTAGTTTTTAAATTATTTTACTATACATTTCTATAATGAGATGATCATAATTTTGATATTGATTTAATTATACGGCAAAAAATAACATAATGGATAACATTTTTTATTTGAAAAACAAATAAATCACAGCAATGAGTTTTATTTACCATGCAATGTATATAGGTACATTTTGTTGCAATAATAATAACCTACATAAATAAATACACATACCTTTTCGGAACTTTTGTACAGTTACTCCTCTATAAATCGTTAAAATATATAACAACTAGGTATACCTTTTTATTTAAAAATGACTTTCTCGTTTCCTGTTTCTAAACATAAGTTTAGAACACCTTACATCCCTGTTGTGTCCTTCCGTTTGTTACCAGTAGGTAATATAATATAATATAATATAATATGCATAGTTACTATTGTTGATAATATTAAGATATTTATTTATTCACTATTTTCCGTAGTTAAACTATTAATATAATATGGTTGCGATTGTTTGTATTAGGATAATATTATATTATACTTATTGTTATTTAATAATATCATTATTGTTTCCATCTAAAATATACTTCTTAAATGTCTAAAATATTAAGGTTGCTAAATTCTTTTAAAATTATATTTGGAATATTATAGCTTATTACTTATTGTATTAAAATACGTCTGGAAACAGGGAATTTAGCACGCTCGGAGAGTGAGCTTTCCTAACTTATTTTCCACACGCAGTTCAGTACGCATCATAGATCACAATTACATTTGGTAATTTTAACTTATAGTTTTTTAATTTAAATTGACTAACAGCTAACAATGCCAACTGGTTATTTTATTAACGAATGCAATAATATTATAGGTTTACTTGTTTTTCCTATTCGATAATATATCTATATAACTGTTGTTCGTAGACTTATACGCCTATATAACATTATAGATAAGTCATAATCTTCTTCATGTGTGTAAATAAGCAGCAATAATAAATTCTATATTAAACTATAGAAAATAAAATGGGTAAAAAGCAAAAGAAAATTATTTGAATATCTTGAAAAGTTTCGTTTTTGTGTAATATATATTCCGAAAATGTCAGTTGAATATTATAAATCTACCTGCGTGTGTAATATTTTTAAACAAAATGCGCATAATACACCTGTCATCATAGTAAACCGTTGACTTGAAAATAATGTAGTGGAAAGTTAAAAAAAAAACCCTGTTTAAACGTAAACAAAACGTCAGTTGTTTGTTACAATCGTTTTTTTTCGAAAGCTTTTAATACAAATCTTTTATTCAAGTTTGAAAAAGAATCTTTAACGTCATCATTTAAACAAGTTCCTACGTATATAATACTCGTTATATACCAACAAAAATCAATATATAGTGTATTTAAAATTAAAAAAAACAATTCAACGACCATTTAATCCAATTAAAGAGGTATAAGAAAATTAAGTTTTTAACTTTTTTCAAAGTGATTTAAACCGTATATCATAATATTATATAACTATTAAAACAGTTATTTATATTTTGATAAACTTACCTACCGTTTAAATTATAAAATATTTGAATTATATCGACGATACCTATACAATTTTAGAATTGATGTTTTCTCTCTGCTTGATAATATTTTTCCAATAAAAAAACCAATATTATACTATTATGTCAAAGGTATAACATTGTAGGTAAATGCGGATTTAGAGGTAAACGGTATATACCGTATAGACTATAAAGATACACAAATTAAGCCCCAATATAATATAATATATTCTACTTCAGTACAAAATGCTTGCGTAGGTACCGGAAATTTTAGATATATATTATAGTTGTAAATAATTACTTGAATTATTTGTAAAACCGTACTACATGCCATGTGTGGTAATTAATTCAATCTCGGCGATATTAATAGACGTTGTATTTTATTATGCCCATGATGATGTCATGGCGTGAATAATTACGAAAACTCATAATAAAAAATATAGTAGACAAATATTATTACGGCAATCGAGTAGGGAAAATTGCGAAACAAATTATTAATAACAACCGCTTCATTGCAGGGCTTAAAAACGTTTTTATAACGTTATGAGTATAACGTTAAACAATTCAAAAAACGATAGAAATCGATAACGGCGATAACATATCGGTTAACGACAAACGATTGAAGCGAATAACAGTTAATCTACCGGTAAACGATAATAACGATTGAAAATTTGAAACGGTTATCGGATAACATATCGGTAAACGATATACGATTGGAAACGGATAACGGATGACGAAACAGAAACAATAAACAATTGAAACATATAATTGCCTGAAAAAAAAATATTTATAAAATTATAACTATCAGTAAAATATATATTATGGTTATTTTTGTGATATTATATTTTTCAGTCATTCTGTTTTGTGTAGGAAACAAGCTATTTCCATCAGATAACTCTAAACTCTTCATAACGTTTAAATTTGTAAAACGTTTAAACGCTTAAGTTGAATAACGTTTAAATTCCTTATAACGTTGAACAGTCATTCGATCATAATTCATAACGTTTAATATACATATAACGGTAAACGGTATTATTATTTTTGATTTAAGCCCTGCTTCATAGCGTGGATAGAACTTGATAAATAGCATAAATATTTTATTTTCAA